GCATCTGACTTGACAGCGATCAGTGGAGAGATTTGCAGATACTATTATCAGCTGGTGATTGTTGGGCTAGTGATCAATAAGTTGAGTGTTGGGTGTCTCTGGTTGTTTTTGGTCAAGTGGTTGATCTCAGTGTTGTCTGCTGTTGTGTGAAGGTCTGTCATAATCTCAGTTGGTTGTTGTTGTGCAGCATAAAGATTCAGTTCCTGACTCTGTTGGTTTTATGTTGGATGTGAAATGTCTGCTCAGTTAAAGCTGCAGTGATTAGTCAATTAATCAAGTGTGTGTGCGTGTGTGTGTGTGTGTGTCTGTCTACATATATAATGTATAAGAACTGAGTTAGTGACAGTCAACAGTCATGTGATGTAATGAACTGTGACTCGTGTTAATCAGAATAATCAAGGACAGTTTTTATCTGAGGAGAAACTTGTGTTGACGTTTCAGAACAAGATGGAGAGTTAAAGTTGTGATTCACAGCGTCTTTGTTCATTAAAACCCTCATCTGTCTGTGTGGTGGACTGGGACCCGGCTGGGATGTGGTTTTCAGGCCAAACTGGACTCTGCAGTAGGTAGTTTTAGGCTGCAGCCATGAGGAAACATCAGTCCAGCACACAAACCAAATCGCTGAGTTTTCCACTCTGCCCGGGCTGCAGTGAATGCAGCCCCCCCCCTTTTTCTGGTCTCTAATGTCAATTAGCTGTGGCTGCTGGTGGACTCTCCTCCAGCTCCACTCGTCCCTCTGCTGCTGTAACCACCACGAACACACACACGAACACACACACGAACACACACACGAACACACACACAGGATCTTTAAGGCCTGCAGGGGCTGTTTGCTGGGAAGTCCTGTTAGCAAGAGACAATGAAATGATGCAAATCTTCACATGTTTCCTGGCAACAAGATAAAAGATGTTACTGGACTGAAAACACACAGGTCACTGTTACACCTGTCTGACCAACCAACAACCAGACATTTTCACTTTACATTAATGTACAGCAGTCAGACAGCAGTGTGAGCCAACACACTCTCCTCTCTGCTGTGTTTGTACTGACTCAGCCCTCATACCTGTGAGGACTGGTTTCACAGCTTCAGCTGACACGTCACTCACAACACAGGAATTTATATTGTGTGTGTGAACTATAAGGTCAGGTGTGTTTGCCTTTAGATTGTGACACAAATCAGGTTACTCTGGTGCTACGGTTCAGCTGCCTTCAGGTGTTTGTATCATTGAATAATGTTGAATTAAAGTGTTGAGAGAACGTGAGAGAGAACGTGTTGGTTACAGATCGTACATAACATTTCTAAATGTGTCTCTGTAGCTCTGTAGCTCTCTAGCTCTGCTCTCTAGCTCTGTAGCTCTGTAGCTCTCTAGCTCTGCTCTCTAGCTCTGTAGCTCTGTAGTCCTGTAGCTCTGTAGTCCTGTAGCTCTCTAGCTCTGTAGCTCTCTAGCTCTGTAGCTCTGTAGCTCTGTAGCCCTGTAGCTCTGTAGTCCTGTAGCTCTGCTCTGTAGCTCTCTAGCTCTGTAGCTCTGTAGCTCTGTAGTCCTGTAGCTCTCTAGCTCTCTAGCTCTGTAGCTCTGTAGCCCTGTAGGTAGCCCACTGTAGCTCTCGTAAGTCCTTGTAGCTCTCTAGCTCTGGTAGCTCTCTAGCTCTGTAGGCTTGCTGTAGCCTGCTCTAAGCTTCTGTAGCGCTGTAGCCCTGTAGCCCTCTGTATGCTTCTCGCTAGCCTTTTGTCCTTGATTGGAATTCTGCGCCATCAAGCCCATCTGGACAGATCTCG